AGACTCACATTTTTATTTTTGCATTTTTTTAATATTGGGAATCAAAAACTTGTGACCTTGCACTTGCTAGTCAGGCGCTGCTACTGAGCTGTATCCCCAGTCCTAAGGACTAACTTTAAATACTCAGTTTCTTATTTGTTATTATTGCTCTTCACACATAGTCCTTGTATCCCGAAACATAGTCCTTGAATACACTCTCTTATTTGAGTAGAAAAGGGTAGTCTAAAGATTCATAACCCTGAATTCTGGTTCTTCCTTTCTCTAATGTTTGGCAAATCGTTTGATTCTTCTGCCTGTATCTCTCTAGCTAAAGAGCAAAAATAATGTTAAGATCCCAACTTTCAGCATAAGGACATTAGATATTGAATATCACAGCACTTGCATTCCAGTTCCCCCTTAATGTAGAAAATGCGAGCCAACTACTAAGACATTTCTTTTTCTTTTTGGTACCAGGGATTGATCTCCCAACCTCAGGCTTGCCAAGCAGGTGCTTAAGCTGCTAAGCTAAATCCCCGGCCCTAAGACATTTCTTACCCACACATAAACTTTCTTAAAGTTCTATTCTCATTCTTTCTCTTTCTGTAAATCCATCCATATATGAATTTGTTTTTTCACATGTAGTTGAGTTGTGTCTTTCTGTTTAAGGTTATTGATTCCATCACCTTCTACTTTTTGTAGAACTTTAGTCCATTGATTAACATCAGTTTGACTAGATCTTTCTCCTTCTGCCATGTAGAGATATACATAAAGAGTTCAAAACCTTTAACCTTCATTTTTCAGTTTCATTCTTCTGAGGTAACTATTAAGTTTGCTTCAAACTATTAAGTTTGTCCTTTGTTTTTTTATATTTTATGTAATTGTGTATCTATGTACATACGTATTTTTATATAAAAATGAAGTGATAAAGTAAATATTACTATGCAGTTTATGTTCTGTTTTTGTTTTGTAAATATTTCACATATATATATGTATTCTTTTGGCAACTATATCATATTTCATAGAATGGAGATGCCATAATTAATTTAAGTTTTTTTTTCTGATTTTTTTTTTTTTTTTTTTGGTCTTTTTCCTTTTTATCGGTACCAGGGATCGAACCCACGACTGCCTGCTTGCAAGGCAGGCGTTTATGCCACTGAGCTAAATCCCCAGCCCCTTTTTTCTGATTTTTTTTTTGCGGTTATCCTCCACAGTTCTGTGCAATAAATAAACTTACCCATATTTCTTGAGTATTGGAGTGCTTTGTTTTTCCTTGAGACAGGATCTCACTGTCTGGGGCTGGTCTCACACTCACTTTGTAGTGCATGCTGGCCTCAAATTTATGGTCCTCTTGCCTTGGCCTTGCAAATGCTGGGATTACAGACATACACTACTGTGCCCAGCTTGGAGCTTTTGTTTTAATTGACTGCATTCCCAAAAGTGACAGTGTTAGAGCAAAGGGCAGTCAAATTTGAGTGGTACTTATGAAAGGTTGTGATCTGTTATCCTATAAAACCAGTGTTGTTTACTTTCCTCCAAGCTGTGTGTTTGCTGAACTGATTTGTGAAATACAGTATCTCAGTTGCTGCTTTAGTTTTAATATCCTAGGCCACTGTTAATGCTTAATTGGATAATTGTGTTTCCTGGTTTTCCTGGTATGTACATTACCTGTTAATATCCTCAGCCTGGTTTTACTAGTTTGTCCTCTTGTTAACAATTGATAGGAGGAGCTCTATTTTAGGATTATTATCTCTTTTACATATTTTGGGGGTATTATATGTTAGAGTATGTGGTTTTTAAAAACTTCACAAAGATACCTTTGGCCAGATTGGTTGACCTTTTAAAACTAGTTTTTGAGTAGGAATCTGTCCTATCAGCTGTTAAATTTTTCTATGAAATTATCCAATCAGGGCAATATGATTTTGATATAGAAATAGGCAACCATAGCAGAACAGTGCACCCAAGTATAGATGTATTTGGGATCTTACAGTGTGCTGAGTTGCTATCTCAATTGAATTGGAGTAAACAATAGGTTATTTAATTATTTTAGTTAATAGGCACTCTGTACCTAAGAAAACACACCTTTACATCTTGATCAACAGCAAATTTCAGACAAATGCATGTGAGTTAGAGGTTGGATTCTTTTCTTTTAAAAGCCAGTAACAACCTCCATGTTTATTTTTGTCAGAGCATTTCTGGTATATCAAAATTGCCTACTTCTGTATTTTCTCTTTTGTTAGATTATAAATACCCAGAGGCAGGAAGCATATCTTATTAATAGTGGTGTTCCCATTAAATAAGTGTGACATTACTACCCAGTACTGTAGGTACTGTACATACTTAATACCCATTACATTTGTGAGTGAACTTACTTGTTCCTCTATTGTTTTGTATTCTATTTTCTATTGTCAAGGAAATTATTAACATTATAAAAGGTGTTATGGATAGGCTTCTCACTTTGCCCTTATGCTTGTAGCAATAAATAGTCCTGAGAGGATAGGAGTATGTGTTAGGATTATTGTATATTGGGTAGGAATAGAGATGGATGGAATCCATAGAGATTTAGTAGACAGCAAGACCTTGATAATTGGATTGAAGGGTGAAAATCAAGGAGAAAACATGAAAGAATGACTTCCAGATCTTGTTTATAGTCACAGAGGTATTTTAGGATGGGAAAGGAATATTATTTATATGTAATGTTATTTTTTCTCTGTCCCTCTTGATACATCTTGTGTCTCTGACACCACAAATTTCATTTTCTTGAGAATTTTGTTTTCTTCTTTCCCTAACTTACTGAATTCTGTCTTTAATAACAAGTAATTTATTTCTTAGTGGGAGTGAGTTGGCAAAACTGGAACCCAGTTCAATAGGCAAGAAAAGCCAAAATGCTTTTATAGTCATTTTTAGTTCTATTTCAGGGAAGTTTACTATGGAAGAGTTTCACTAATGTACACTGAAAATTTAGAAGGAGTAAAATCCACGAGGTTTAGAGTTTATTAAGAGAAAACATAAAGTAATATGTTAGTGAAGGTAGAAGGTACAATGATTCAAGAAGCTTACATTTTGAATGGTAACCATGGGTAGCAAAACATTGAGATAATTATTTTTTAGTGATGAACAGCATCTCTCAATCTCCTAACATTCTGGTATGGCCAAAAATATAGTACCCTTTGTGTCAGTGATTTACTTGAGAAACAGATGTAGCACAAAATACACAAACGTATAAAAAATTACTGTACTGGTTTACGATGATCAGCCACAGAATTGGATGAAGAAGTGTGCAAAGGGTGTCTGCACATTGGAGGCTGAAGGTTTCATTTAAGGTCTGGAATTCACTGCAGGGTCCTGTGCAAGTCCGTATCAAGAGACCAGTGGGTCTGAGACACAAGGCTTAAGAGTCTAAGGCAGAAGCTGAAGTCCACACTAGGAGCCAGGAGATGACGTCCAGGCTAATGACAAATATTGCAGTGCCTCCAAAGAACAGAAGCCAGTCTTTCCTTCCTTATTTTCCTTTTAGTCCACCCAGGTGAAGAGCCACCTAGCGTGGATCTTCTATATCCTAGGGTGCAGACACTGCCTTAAGGCAGGTCTTCTACACCGTAGGGTACAGAATCGCAGAGCCAATGTAAGCTTCTCAACTCCTCAAGCTGACACAATCAATCAACCATTATAACTTTCAGAACAAAAAAAAAAGCCTTTGATGTAGAGATCTTTATGTTTATTCCTTGGATGTTTTCCCTCTTTCTTAAAAAAATATATTGTGATTGGCACTCAGTAAATGTTTATTAAAGAGATGAGTTATGTTTTATGACCCTGCACATAAATATTACATTCCATTTTAATAGTAAGCTTTGTTTTTTTTTTAATTTTTACTTTAAAAAGTTTCTTGCTTGCTACTGTTTTCATAGTATTTTAAAGAGGTATAGATTTGTTTACATCCATTTCCATTTCCTGTAACATTTTTGTTAACATAATTTTGTTACATTTCATTAGGTACTCTAATCATAGAATGGAGTTTGTTAGACATTAGGACTAGTAAATATTGTATGTATATTATTAACCAAAATTTTATATACAAGTTTTTATAATTGTCAAGGCTTTAAATATATCAAATAGGTTTTTGCTTTAACATCCATTTTTATCTTTATAATTTTCTGGTACACTAATAAAAAGAATTTAATTTTCTAATGACTCAAATCATGATATCAGCTCTGTCATATCCTTGAAATATTTTCATTCTGCAGTAAAATCACTGTAACATTGAGACTATAAAAAAGACATTACAATTGATGTTTAAATATCTTCTATTTTTTAGCCTTCATGAGAAGTGCTGCATTTGCATGCACACATATGTATTAACACGTTTAGAAAGCAGTGGAAAACAGAACAAAAAACTTAACATTGTAATCCAACAAACTACGTAGTGTGTGGTTTGGTGTATACTTACTTTCTTTTTTGATGTGTACATACACATGCTTACATGTGCCTGTGCAGCACATACACACATCCATAAAAGTCCGTATCAATGTTGGTTTCTGTTTACATATACCTGAGAAAAATCTATTTTCTTATTTGTACTCTGTCAGAAATAGGAAGAAAAACATATGGTGGCTTATATAATAGTGGCTCCAAAAGTGGATCCATACTGTTGCTAGTTTCAGGAACCTTAATGATCCAAGGTGAAATAGAAAAATGCAGTAATGATGCAGTTAAATTTATCAACGTAATGATTATCTTAAAATTATGAGTGTGTTTTCTCTTTTATATTTTGGAGAATTAAAATGTTCAGTGTTTTGTGAAATGTTGGCAAACTGTTGGTAAAGATGATGATATTACTTTGTAAAATACAGGCACAAAAAGATGAAATCTAATATTGTCTTCTTCAATTTTAAAAATTTACTACTGTATGAAATTTTAAGTCTTACAATGACTACTGATGATCATCTTATACACTTATTGGGATATATTAAAATATACTTTTTTACCCTTATTACTTATTGAGTACATTATTTGTTCATTCACAGTACCTGGTTATGGATTATTATGTTGGTGGGGATTTGCTTACTCTGCTCAGCAAGTTTGAAGACAGATTGCCTGAAGATATGGCTCGGTTTTACTTGGCTGAGATGGTGATAGCAATTGACTCAGTTCATCAGCTACATTATGTACACAGGTATGTCAGTCCTTCATTGCATCTAGCTGTGAATTGCTATGTAATATCTAGAAATGGAGGTCTGTTTCTACCAGATTTATCACTTACAGTGTTAGGCACATTTCTCATCAGTCAATTGTGATGATGTGCTTTGCTGTTGTCATTAGTTGTCTGTTACCAAACTGATGGGCCTGCTTCTTCTATACATGTACATGTATAGTATCTAAAAATTCCTGCATGCTGTCAGTATTCTATATTGCACTTCTGAAAAGCACTCTTACTTAAATTTACAGAGGATTTTCTTTTCAAAAGTAGTATGCTTTGGTCAGTTTCTTTAGGGTTGTCTGTTGAGCCTGTCCACCTGGCACCCCAGCTGGAGAGTGGACCCAGGGACTGTCTACCAGTGAGCTACATTCCCAGCCAGCCCTTTTTATTTTTAGGCCAAATCTGGCCTAGAAATCTCATTTCTCTTATTCAGTCTCCCAAGTAGCTGAAATTACTTCACACCTAGTTTAAAACACATTGGATGGTTTAAAGGGTTAGAAGGAAAGCATCTTCCTTGGTGAATTCATTCAAAAGAGGAAAATTCTGAGCGTTATGCAAAGTATGAGAAAGATGCTAAAAGGTATATCAAGAGTTACTGTTGTGTTAGAAAGAAACTTCACCATTTTATAAGACTGACTTTCAAATGTTAGCATTCATCAGAATCATATGGAGTGCATGTTAAAACCAAGACTGTGGGTCAGCTGTAGAATTTCTGATTTCGTAGGCTGGGTGGCGCTGATGATTTGTGTCTTGATGTAGTTGTATGTGGTAATGGTGATGCTGGTCTAGTGAGCACACTTTGGGGACCATGATCTGAGACAGCAGTGATTGTCTTAAATTCTCTTAGAAGAATATGAGGGTAGAGATGGAAAAGAAATATACTGTACATGTACCAACTCCCCATGATAAATTGTAATCATTATGTACTGCAACTGTGTACTAATGAAAGAATGTGAAGGTGGAAAGGGGAGAAAATTTTTCTTTTAGTGTTTATTTTTTAAAATTGTGACTTTTAAGATACTGATTGATTTTATTAGTAATAATGTGCTTAGACTTTAAAGGAAGAATATTTCAATTAAAAAACTACATTTGAGCTATAGGTTTGAGCTCTATGGCCAAGCACACCACTCATGATTAAAGCCCTGGTTTCAGTCCCCTGGACTAAAAACCAAAAAACTGTACCAGATCTCATTTTGTCTCTTTCCTGTCCAGACACATTTCTCTGTTGGTGTCTGGGAATTACAAATTTTATTGAAAATGAAGACATGAAAATTCTCTGGGAATTATAAAGTACGTGAAGTTTTTAAAATAATGCTGTGATCTCAAGAGTAAATTATTACGTGAGAAACTATAGAGCTTTCTTGATGCTCAAATATAACCTCAGTTTTCTAGGTGAAGACTTGTCATTTATAAATACAAAGATATCATTAGATTGGAACATTTAAAGATGTTACTTACTAAACATAGAGTCTTAGTCTCCTGGAATTTGGAAAAACTATACATTTTAGATCTAGAATCCTGACAAGGAGTGATCATTTCTGAAAATTATCCTGTAGATTGGGGATTCTATGAGGTATTTGTGATTCCTTTCATGCTTATGACAAATTGGTAACTAACCTCAGCACGTTTCCTCTTGGCTGTATCTGTACTCCTGTAATTCTTCTCAGAATGGCATGCTAAGTAACAGCTGTTTTTCTTATATTGTCAAGTGTGTTGAAAACCGTTCCAACTCTAAGCTCTGTTTATATACTTGTAATTTAAAAGTTACTTAATTGGTAAAAATAATCCTGTTTATTATTGGGTGATTCTAACATTACAGAGTAACATTATAACTAACATTATATTCTAACAATGTAAAGCAAAGATATTAACTTATCTTTGCTTAGTGACTATACTTTCTGAAGTTGTCCTTTCTTTAGGTTAAAAACCTAAACATTTAGTTTCTGTTATCAGAATGTGCGTACCTATTTTCCCATTATTTCACACTCTGTGCCCTCCTACACCTTTCCCTCCCTTCTCCCTTCCTTTGTCCTTCAGTGTGTGTTCCCTATGTTAATGTACATTTAGTTTTTTAAAAAAATATTAATACCATTTTCAGAACAGATTAGTTTTCAGGAAATGCTTTTCTGAGGAAATGTTTGAATCCTATTTTATAAATAGCATTGTGCTAAACCATGTGGAATCTTAAGTAGGTATAAGGTACTCCTGATTTTACTTGATTTTTTTCCCCCTCCTTCTCCTCCCTTCTTGCTTCTCTTTCTCCCTCTCGCTCTCCTCTCCCTCTCTCTTCCTCTCTCTCTCCTTCCCTCCCTCTCTCTCTTTTGAGACAGGATCTCACTATGTAGTCTTTGATGCTCTTGAACTTGCTATATTTTCCAGGCCTTGAAATTACAATCTTTCTACCTCAACCTCCTGGTATTACAGATGTGGGCCATCATGCCCAGCTAGTCCTGACGTTGAAGAAGTTTCTGGTCTGTTTAGAGACACAAAACATAGAAATAAAAATTAAAATAATCATTTAGGGCAAAAGTGTAAGAGGTGGAATGAGTGCAGACTGAATTGCTAAATCAGTCATAAATTATTTCAAAATTCTTAATTCCTTCCTTGTATCATTACTGTCTTTCATTTCATGGGTACCTAAGAATTTATGTTTAGATACACTGTTGCTATTATTATTATTTTGAACAAAGTGTTACATTAGGCCAATTTTTAATTAAGAAAAAGACTGAGCATAGTGGCTCATGGCTGTAATGTCAGGGAGGCTGAGGCAGGAGGATCTCAAGCTGCAGTCCAGAGTGAACAACTTAGCCACTTAGTAAAATTTGTGTCCAGAACAGAAGGCAGAATGGGGGGTGGTGTGAGGTAGCTTAGCTCTGAAGCCCTGAGTTCAGTCTTCCCAGTACTGTGTCTGCACCTCATAAGAAAAATAAAATTTCTCTTTCTTTTTCACCCTCCTTTGTTCTGCTTTTCTTTATGTCAACCTGAGCATTTGACCTATATAATTTTCCCTTCTTTGAAGACCTTTTTTGGTAAACAACAAATTTCTACGGTAATGAATATCCCTAGTTTTTGTTTCCTGAGGAAGTCTTTTGAAGAATAACTTTGCAGGATCCAAAATTCTAGGTTGATTAAAAAAACCTTATGTTCCACTCTACTTTTTTATTTGCTTGGTTCTAAGTAGTAGTCACTTGTGATTTTTTATTCTTCTACAGGAACCCTTCCTTTTACTCCCAGCTTCTTTCAGGGTTTTTTCTTTTGTCTGAATTCTCTGTTTTTGGAAAAATTATACACCTAGATGTAGGTTCTTTTTTTTGTTTTTCTTCTTTTTGCATTTACCTTATTTGATAGTTTCTGACCTGTATTGTGGATTGTGACTCACATTAATTTTGGGAAATTCTCGTTTATAATGGTTTTAAGTATTTCTTCTGGTTCTTTCTGTCTTTTCTTTGTGGTATTTCATTACATGAATAGTGTACGTTTTTATAATTGTGCCACAGTTCTTGAATATTCTGTTCTGTCATTTGTTTGCAAGTATTCTCTTTGCTTCTCTTTGGAAGTTTCTCTTTTCATGTTTTTAAGCTCAGAAATTCTTTCCTCAGTGGTGTCTACATCTCCTAATGAGTTCATCAAAGGTATCTTTCATTTCTGTTTGAACTTTTTAATCTCTAGTATTTCTTGTTCTCAATTTCCATCTTTCTGCTTACATTGTCTATCCGTTCTCTCATGTTGTTTGCTTTTTTTGTTACAGTCTTTTAATGTAATGCTACTTTTTAAAATTCCTAATCTATACTTTTACCATTTCTGCCATGTCTGACTCTGGTTTTGAAGTCTTTTCATTTCTTTCCCTTTTAGTATGCCTCATAATTTTTTTTAATTGAAAGGTGGATATGATATGCTGGGTAAAAGGAATTGCAGTATATTGTCTTTTGGTGTGGTGCTGGTGGGGTGTGTGTGTGCGTGTGTGTGCGTGTGTGCGTGTGTGTGTGTGTGTGTGTGTGTGTGTGTGTGTGCGCGCGCGCGCGTGCGCGCACGCGCTGGGGGATGGGAAAAGAATGCTTTATAGTCCTGTGGTTAAATCTCTAGTCTTTTAGCAAGGATGTGCCGCCTGGATGCGAACACCAGTTTCTGAGTATTCTTTCCATCCCACTCATCCCCACTTAACTTGGGACAGAGTAGCCAGAATTGGCTGAAGTTGGCTATTTCCCTTTTTCCATGTAGTTATGGTTTGATAAAAGCCCATCACATTAGGCTCTGGTGAAATAGTTTCTCCTGGGACATGCCTTCATGAAAAGAGAGTGCTTTGGCACAGTTTAGAATAGCTCCCTTCTAAAGGATTAGAACGTTTTTCTCTGATACTTATGTGGGGATTCTGTTGAGCTCATGGCAGTAAGACTGACACCTGTGAAGTTTCCTTATAATTGGGCCTCCCTGAAGCTTTTAATCTCTCAGTCTTTCTACAGTGAGTCTTCCACAGTTTGTCAATTATGGGTTAGATTTTCCTAACTAGGCAGTTGAGGCAAGGTTTCTGCTTGTGAATTTTTGCTCTGCTAAATTTCACTTCTCTGTATCCACCAGTCAGTTTGTTGCTAGGACATAGTAGTGAATTCTTAGTCCCTTATTTACTGGACTGAAAACTAGAAGTCTCCTCCATAGTTTTTTAAAATGTAGATTTAAAGCAGTGTGTTTTGTTGTTGAGAATATAGATTGGAACTTATCGTGGGCGGGTGGGCAGGGGAACCCCAGCTTTCTGTTAAAGATGAGATTCCCAAGGGTACTTAATGAAGTGTTATTGTCTAGCTCCTGAAATGTAGACCATTCCTCTGGTATTTTATTGAGAATCCAAAGGATGTTATGATATTATGAATGCTCATAGGGGACAATTATTATTTGCTGCTGGTAACCTCAACCTTTGTAAGAAGGTAGGAGGCAAATACAGTGAGATTGAGAGGAGAAAAGTAGTATTAATAGAGTAGTGA